GATAAATCAAAGAAAACTCCTCATGACTTGTCCAGTGTGTAGGCATATTATGTAGGATGATATAATTTTACATTTAATAACTCGTACATGTACAAGATATAGGCCTAGTCATGTGCTATTATCTGTAAACTGTCATAACAGATGTGTACTGTGGTTAACCCTTAATAAGCCAACCCCTGTCTATCTCGTTGATTGTTTTATTGATTACAGGACTATACCTACAGCAGGCTAGACACTGCTTATCAAAGTATAACTATTGTACTATATTTGGTACTTTGAGCAGTGATCATTTTGGATTTTGAGTTCATGGGCCATTTTAAAAAAGGACAATTTGGAGGGGTCATTATATAGAAATTTTCTGAACAATTATCATTTGGGAAATGAAAGTGCCAATGGCCCCCTCCAAAATGATCCCTGCTCAAGTAATTAGTTTTTATTTCTGATTTGTTGTAGCTTTTTACCTCCTCTGGAAGACAATACTTAATAAATGTAAATAAAAATATGTCTGTTCAAAATTTGTGACTTGTTCATCAATTCTGATTTTGTTTTTCAGTGTTCTCCCTGAACATTTACCTTGTCATAAGTTATAAGACCTTGGATTGAGATAATATATTAACATTTACATAAATAATTTGGTAATGAAAGTCTATGTTCAGAGAGGGCACTGATACAACATGTAGGTGTAAGTGGAATATGATTTTAAGAAATTTAATTCCGAGAACAATCTAACATTCAACGTACAGGTTGAGGTCATATCACAATGTGAAAATATGTATCCTTATTCTGATTTCCAAATAATGAAATATATATTTTCACTGTGATACATACAGTATATACACGATATATATATATAACACCAGAAAACCATATCTATAAGTGTACTTTGTATCTTTTCAAATTTTGAATAGGTACATATAATTCCTTCTACAAAAAAGTACATACAGTATATAGTCAGTACATGTACACTTTTGATTGTGTGAGGCACAAGAGGTATATAATATATACTGTAAAGACAGTACATGTACATTTGGGATTGTATGATAAGATATCTGGTAAATATACTCTGTGAACTTGAAGATTAGTCTTCATCTTGAACAAGTGGTGGAAGAAGATTAGACAGACACACACACAACTTCCAGATCTTGGAAGCTTGATGAGAAAGTGTTATTGGCATTACCCCTTGCAATATTCTAAAGTTTTTGACTCTCTCCATGGCCCTTTCTACATCTATTCTCAGGTTAGCTATCCATCTGGTTTCTTCAACCTGCTTCCTATTAAAAAGTTGATACTTTAAAGGGGGGATTATAAGCTGAATATCTCTCGTAGTTAAATCAGATATCAAGACGCCTTTATCAGCCATAATCGCATCACCTGCTTGGCACAAATCTAATATGCCACAATTTTGGGTCAACTGTTTGTCGCTTATACTCCCTGCCGACAGATCCGAAGAGAATGTGATTAACCCAGATGGACTTATACCCAATAAGGCTTTGTAGGTCATATGTGACTTGTAGTGAGAATACAACAATGACTTATTTGTCAGGGATTGAGGGATTTCAGTGTATATTTCTGTACAATCAATAATAACTCTACAGTTAGGATATTTTCTCTTTAACTTGTTTGGCAAAGTTTGTTGAATGGTAACCTTTGATGGCCATGCAGTAAGAAAAGCAAGTTTCACACTCAGGTAAGATATCCACTGATTTGTTATATTACTACATGTTGATTTGGAAATGTGGAATCTCTGAGCAAGGTCTTGTAATAAAAGGCCTAACCTTAAACGCATCAACACCAAAAAGAACTCGTCAATAAGCCTCAAAACCCTTGGACGACCTTGGTTCTCTCCACTCCCAACCCTGTGTGTGTTGCTCAGCATCAGACATTTCATCAAACAATAAATCAAATGTTTCAGCGTTCGGAATTCCTGTGTAAAACATGCACATTTCATCAGACTTCCTTATGTCTTCAAATGTCAAGTCAGGTTTCACAACTTGTGTTCCCACAGTTCTTGTTACGGGTTTGTCTTTATTGCATTTTTCACAAGCACTTTCAAAATCAGTTTGAGTTGATACAGACACAGAACATGGATGATTATTATCCATCTGGTAATCACTGGTCTGGGTAGACATATATGTTGTTGTATTGGTTAGAGGAAGTGTTTGTACATTTTATCCAAAGTGGTACTTAGCTGTTCATGAGGCACTGGTCCACAGTAGTCATGCAACAATGTAGAAACTTGTTCATTAGCTATGTCAACTGTGTAAGTGAACAATTGATCATGCACCAGAATGGAACTAGTAGCTTCTGATAGCTGTTCAGAGTCAACTTCCATCTGTTCGTGTTCTTGAGCCAGAAACATATCTGAGTTTTCAGTCAACTGAAAATACATGAATCAAACATATAATAAAAATATGTCAATACCTTTATCTCCTGCATTGAGCGGTCATTGATAAACATTTTGAGTAGTTGATGTATCAAAAGCAACATATTGCAATGTATTGATATATATCAAAACAATCAACTTGCCAAGATTCATCAGTTAAATGGTAAAATTTAGACTTTAATTGATTATATAATGCAGATAAAAATGTTCATGAATATGTTCTTGTTACAAATAATATCTGAACACTGATCAGGCCTCTTCTGGACTGAAAATATCACCTACAAAAGATCTTATTATGGGTCAACCAGGTGCATCTATATCGATAGTAAATAGATATGATAGTAAATAGATATCGTATCGGAAAATGAGGAATTGTCAATATATCGATATTGTTTGTAACGATGACTACCTGCTTTGGTCAAGACTACATTACGATAATTTGTCCAACACTTACCGATGAGGAACCAAAAGTTTTTCTCCTGCCATCTTTGAGAAGGAATATTGAAGGCACGTTGTTTTCTTTTCGTCCTTTTAAATATGCAACGCCATGGAAATGCGCTGAACAAACCCTGTCATTTTTTATATTAAGCTGAAAACTTCGGCTAACAAGTTTGATTTGTTTTATCCAAGCAGTCTGCAAATTTTTATCCGCTGGGAATCGATGCAACGTTATAGCCGATGGACACCCATGTTAATAAGGTTTTCAAACAATGGATGCGCCAACAGTGGACAGACTGGTTCCGGACCGCCCAACGCAACAAGAATGGTAACATCGTGCAGCCGACTCGCCAGAATGTCATTACATGGGTCAGCACAGCTTGGGCTAGTGTCACCGAGGAGACCATCGTCGGCTCTTTTCTCAGCTGCGGGATCTCCAATTCACTGTCCGGATCTGTGAACTCACTTCAATCCCGACGACTTATCGAGGAAGTAGGTGTCAGCGGTGCGGATACAGACATTGAGGAGGACATTGATAGTACCAGCGCCGATGGTATTCTGTTTGATTCAGAGGAATCCGACGACAAGACTCTTCTGTTCGGTGGTTTCGATCGTTCATAACTTTTATTGGCCTAATGGACACGTGTGTGACTCATTGACAGTGCTATGGTGATTTTGTTGTATTTGTTTGTTTTACTCGATATGGAATTAATACAAACCTGTTTTTATATATATTTCTTCTTGTTCTTATTTTAATCATCCAGTAACCAGTCTTCGTTCGCCTGAATAGATTTGTTCATCGATAACAGTAGTGAAAAATCCAAGATGGCGACCGAGGATATCGGTCAGGTATAGGCTCTTATCCGGCAATAAGCCCACCCCCTACTCTTGACTCAATTTCATGCACAGGCCCCCTGGGCTTATTGGCGGAGAAATACGGTAACATTGCCGTCGACAATTTTCCCTCTATAATTTGAACAAATGCAGCAATAATGACGATATACTGATTTAGATGCATTTTTAACGGACTTCCCTGCTTCCATCGCGAATACCTAGGCCCCGACCCGTCCAGTGCTAATAGCTTGGGCACGCCATTTCTTTGAACTCCGGAAATGACGAGACTAAACCGGAAGCATCTGATTGTAACTCTATACCAAATAAGTTCTCAAAGGAAGGTAATTATAAAGGGAGATAACAACCCTTATTGAACAGGACTATTGGAAAACCCTGTGAGCTAATATGACAAAGTCATGTATATTTTTACAAAATGCGGTGTGCAAACTAATAGGTTGTATGAATAATCTCTTATTGTGGAAATGTCAAGACGACATTTATTTTCGAGGGGAGAGTGTTATAATGTGTATTTTATGTACCCCTATATTTTTTGGTTAATCCAATCGGCATTGTTTACTTGTTTTATTAAGTTCTAATGCGTAACTACCGTTTAACGGGAGGTAACTCTTACTTCATGCCGTAACATATTATCGATCAATTTCTGGCAGCCTCGTTAGCACTATTTGTAATTGAACGCGAAGCATGCTCTTCGTAGATCAGGTCATGTTGTTCTGTCAGACATGTAGACTTTAAAATCTTATTTATTACAGTGCATCCATGTTATTTCCGATTATTATTTGTGATCACAATAGTTTTGTCAGTGATAAATGTCAGAAATCGAGTCATTGTTTATAGTTTTGAAATTTTGCAAAGCTTGAAAAACTTTGATTCTAAATATAGTAACATAGCTCCCATAATTCCTGGTAACAAACAAACATGGCTGCGCCCATGAATGTAAATCGAAAGTGAAAGTATGGTGTTTACAGCCATGATGGATCGTGTTGAGCTGTATTTTAGTTAGTATTATATATTTAGACGAAATGTCAGAAGTTAGTTATTTCATTCTCAGTCATGCATTTCATGATGAACGTTAATTAAAATTAGTCATTATAAAGTCAATATAATGTAACTATGGAATTTTAATATAGTAATTTTAACAAATCCAAGAACTATATCATCAGTGATACATATTTCATATCATTGTTTGGAATGATATTTGTCATCAAGTCTACGTGATTACATACACGAGTCATAAAACGGTCATATAGACCCCTTGCAGTGACGTCACATTTTAGGCAATGTCCCGGATGCGCCGCCATATTGGAGGTATACCCCGTGAGTCATCATGGCAAAGGTGAAGGATTCTGTTTTTAAACAAGCGACGCCATGTTATCGCGACTGTCTCGATACTATGGAAAGAACTAGGTACAGTAGTAAACTGAAATTGATTGACGAAAATGATCCATACGAACTGAAATCGTGGTCATCAGACGTGCATTTGTTGCCAAAAATCAGCTACCCTGATATTGTGAATTACCTCGTGTTCTCGCCAAGCCCTTACACTCTTGATGACCTGAAGAGTTATAAAGGTCTGGAAGCCTATAACCAGTTTATATCAGGATGGGTGAGGGAGCTTTCCACAGTAGTTATCAACAAGAGACACATTGTGATGGCAAAGGTAAATCTATATACATTTGTCGATTAGTATTATAACATTACTACGCTATAAATATATATAAACAGTTTATCAATGTCGACCCAGGCATTGAAAAAAGTACTGATGTATCTTACTCGTAGTCATTTCCATCAGATTAAAATGAACAGTTTCATACTGGTATTGATATAAATTGTAATATGGATAAAGCATATGTAACAGTTTCATTAACATATACTGTATGCATAATTTATATATCATCCCAAACATGAGTAGGCCTTTAACAAGGAAGACATGAAATGTATTTATGCATATCTTCAGCTTGCATAATCCTAATATAATTAGGTGTATTCCCCCCTTCCCTTTTTTTAAGTATTTAAAGTCGTATATTTATGTAGCTTTTTAATTATAAGAAGTAATATTAAGACAAAGCTACCAGTATGTAGCAACCCGGATTTTTTCTGACAACTGTTTATGGCTGGAAAATTATGTGTGAAATATTATTGTAATTTTAATTCACAGGTTTTACATTCACAACGTTTGAAAGAGAAACCCTTGATACTATGGGTGATTTCAGATGCAGATGGGAAAGTTATTGGAGCTCACTGCAACTGTATGGCAGGCCTTGGAGAATCATGTACACACATCAGTGCTTTACTCTTTACCATAGAAGGTACAGTGAAAGTAAGAGACTCGAAAACTGTCACACAGGAGCCAACTTATTGGATGCTTCCATCAGCAGGAAAAGTGTATTATAATGAGACTAGAAATATAAACTTTGCATCAGCTAAATCTCAAAAAAGAAAGTTTGATAATACATTGGCTTCCCCAAACTCATGTCATGTAAATAAGAACAATTTTTCTACCAAAACAACAAGTACTATTTCAGATCCAACAGCAGAAGAGATGTCAGTTTTTTATCAACCTTTGTATAAAACTGGTGTAAAGTGTGCAGTTCTGTCCTTAATCCCATCTTATGCTGATGATTATGTTCCAAAGTTTATGAGCAACAAATACCCAATGGTACTCACCGAGCTACGCAATGAAAATACATTCAATCTGAATTACATGGAGCTTTTAGATGAATGTTCGAAAGTTGATATCAGCGTGAACCAGAATGAAGCCGATGCTGTGCAACTTGCTACACTTGACCAGGCCAACTCCAAACAGTGGTTCAGTTTCAGATCTGGGAGAATAACAGCATCTAGGATGATAGCAGTGTGTGCATAAGAGTATGATTATTATTATCACTTCCATATTTTCTCATAAATCCCTCATTTGAAATGAAATAATGTTTTTTTTTCATTTGGTAACGGCACAGACATACTTGGTCACAGCACGGACATTTTCGTTCAATTGGGATTTTAATAACTGAATGTTATAAATGAACTGAAATAAATTAATGCGTGTGTGTTTTCATAAATCATATATATGTGAATTTAGCACTTAAAGGTTCAAATTAAAACATGCAAGATAAAAAACTACATTGATTGGCAAATATTTATACATACAGTAACAGCACAGACAAAAAATCAACAGTACGGACAAAATGTTTTAATCATTTTGGGAATATATTTGATTATAGTTGTATTTATTGCTTAATATGAGAGTATGATTACATTTATTATATCCATATTTCACAGTAAATCCCTGTCATTTGAAATGAAGTTTTTTTCATATTTTTGTCGATTTGGTAAGAAGCACAGACATACTTGGTAACAGCATGGACTTAAAACAAATTTTTCTGTCATATATTGCAAAGTATTTTTAACCATAGATAGGGTAAGAAATTAAAGTCGAGCCTGCTTTAATTTTCATCTTCATTTATTGTAGAGAAACGATGGCTCTCAGCGCTGCAGAGAAACAAAGGAGGTATAGAGAAAGAAGGGATCAGGACCCCGAAAGATGTAGGAAATATTTGGAAAAAGAAAAAGCAAAGTATGTCGCAGATAAGAAATCGGGGAAAAGGCCACTTATCAATCAACTTACTGCTCGGACAAAAAGAGCTGTCCGAAAGCAGTGGAAAGAGGAAAAACAAGAACAAAGAAAGAGAAAAAAGGCATTAACATCCGGATGTTCTTCACCATTACCGTCCATCTCTACGTCTAAACCAAAGTCAACAAAGGCAAAGGCAAAAATAGAAAAATGCTATAGAGATCTTGCATACTGCAAAAAGAAAATAAGGGTACAGGAAAAGAAAATAACATTATTTAAGAAAAGGTGGCAAAGAGCTAAAGAGAAAACAAGTCATGGAACTGGATTACCAGATAAACCAAATAAAAAAACAAAGAAGCTGTTGAAACAATCATCAAAGAAAGCTGTCCGGAAGGTGTTATTGTTTCACCACGTTTTGTTGGAACAGATGACATACTACAAAACTAATAAAAGTACAGCACGGAAAACAATTCCAAGAATTATGTCTGGAAAGTTAATAAGAAAGTACAAACTGAAATCACATGCCTTTGACCAGGTTCGGATAACTGTGAAAACAACAAGGGACTACAAAAGAACAAACTCACTAGCAGGAAGAATGAAAGAAAGTGTTGTTTCCTTCTTGGAGAGAAATGACGTTTCCCGTTTAACTGCCGGTATAAAAGATACAATAACCAAAAAGAAGATGAAAAAACAAAAAAGATCATTGCTTGACACACTCCAGAATTTGCATCAGAAATACATTTCAGAGAATCGAGAAAGTTCGATAAGTTATTCCGTGTTTTGCAGACTCTGTCCATTTTGGGTCACGTTCCCTACAGAGAAGGACAGACAAACATGTCTTTGCAAAACGTGTGAAAATGTGCAATACTTAGCCAAGTCACTGTATCAGAACAAATTAATAGCAACTTCAGATGTAGAGCAACTTGTGAAAAATGTGGTGTGCGACGCCGATAGCCAGCATTGCATGTTTGGTGAATGTAAAAAATGTAAGAAAAAAGAAGTGCCATTACAGAACTTCGAACATAAATCAGAGATGCAACTATCATGGATGCAATGGAAAACCGTGAAAGAAAAAAGAACATTTCAGTCGGGAGAAGTGAAGGATGTAACGCTGGTAGTGAAAACAGAAGAAAAGGGCACAGTGTCTGAACTAGTCAAATTATTTCAGAATCAGATATGGTCAAACTTTAGAAGGCATTTCTACACCATCAAAAACCAGTTCCGACACAAGAGAAACGCTCAAAGAAACAGAATGCCTGATACATATTGACTTTGCTGAAAATTATGTTGGAAAATTGCCAAACGAGATTCAGAGCATGCATTTTGGGGCGTCAAAGCCACAGATCACTCTACATACCGGCATCTATTATGTCGGCGGATTGGACAAAGGAGTAACTTTTACAACCGTTTCCGACTCACTTCAGCATGGTCCTGCTGCCATGTGGGCTTATTTGCATCCTGTTCTCGAAGAGATAAAACATAATCATCCTCATGTTGAATACATACATTTCTACAGTGATGGACCCGTCACCCAATACAAACAAAAGAAAAATTTCTACCTGTTGGCAACGGAAACCTTCAAACGAGGATTCAAGGGCGCAACATGGAACTTTCATGAATCGGGGCATGGAAAAGGTATACCTGATGGGGTGGGAGGCAGCCTTAAAAGATCTGCAGATTTGGCAGTGAGGCATGGCCATGGAATAATGAACGCAAAGACACTTAAAAAGGAGCTGGAGAAAGCTGGAACCAAGGTGAAACTCTATCGTGTCAGTCCAGGTGATGTTGTCAAAGCAGAAAAAGAAATGAATGCCAAAACATTGAAGGCTTTACCAGGCACCATGAAAATCCACCAAATACAGACTGTCAGTCCTTACACCGTCCTTTATCGAGATACCAGCTGTACTTGCACAGCTGCAAACTCTTGTGCAAACCATGCAATGCAAGAGTACAAATTTCATGAGTTCGAAAAAATACTGGTACAAGAAACACAAGTTGAAGAAACTACGAGACAAGAAAGATTGCCCGGGATTCAAAGTAGGGAGGATTACGTTTCAGAGGCTCTGAAAACATTACAAGCATGTCAGTCATTCTCAGACTTTCAAGCAGTCTGCAGAACAATCAAACTCGACCAAATAAACGGCAAGGCAAGAAATATATTGGAATGCAATGTGGCTGTTGACCAAACAGCATTGGATATCTACCCAAATGATGTTCCATTTGATCATATTCTATTTCCAGTTGTTGTTCATGCAGATGGAGACTGTTTGCCATCATCTGGTAGTGTATTTGCATATGGCAATGGCGATCAAACGTCCGACATAAGGTTGAGAATAGCAATAGAATTAGCACTGTACCAGGATTATTATCTCAGTCCTGAAAACCTGAGGATCGGATCAAATAGTGATGGTCATAATGATGCAAGAAAATCATTTGTCATGTATTCAGAAGAATTTGTTCCAGGAATAGAACTGAATGAAGCAGCAATTCAGATGATTTTTCAACACGAAGTGATGAAAATAGTTAAACCAAGGACTTACATGGGCATATGGCAGATGTTTGGACTTGCATCTGTTCTGAAAATGCCTGTGTTTTCTGTATACCCACAATTGGGAAACCCATCTGTAAGAAATTACCTTCACCGACACACCATGCCCAGAGTCAAAAACACAGATGCGGTAGCTGTTATCATGTGGAGCAGCACACGCAAGGACTTAACTAATAAACATTGGGTGCCAAATCATTTTCTCCCTGTTCTCCCAGTCGATGAACCTCACGACGTTGGGATGAAAGATGAGCACACTGTGGAGATGTTTGGTGATGAAGTTGACAATGTTATTGAAAACTGTTTTGATGATGAGATGATTGAAGATCAGGCATACAATGAAGGTGGAAGAGATGGATGTCTTGAAATGGTTGGAGATGAGGGTGGCATTGATGATGGCAAAGGCGAGGTAGTGGAAATGGTTGGGGTTAAGGGTGATGATGTGGAAATGGTTGAAGGGAAGAGTGAGGTGGTGGAAATAGTTGAAGGGAAGAGTGAGGTGGCGGGATTGTTTGGAGGGAAGGGCGATGATGATGGCAAAGGTGATGTTGTGGAAATGGTTGGAGGGGATGTTGGCACTTGGAGTGAGGAATGTGGAGTAGTTGCAATGATTGAGTTGGAGGGCAGCAAGGAAATAGAAAAAGATGAAAGTGGCATGCAACTTGAGAGTCATAAAGAGAATGCAAAAGTCAATAGGATAGATTGGGTAGGAAAATATGTTCTAGTAGAATATGACGGTGTTGTCTATCCAGGCATTGTGGAGGACACATCCGATTCAGAATTGTATGTTGAATGTATGCGCAAAGTTGGTAGGAAAACTGAAAATAGGTTTGCATGGCCAAAGCGCAAAAAAGACAAATGTTGGTATACTCTAGAGTGTGTTCAAGCAATTATACAAAAACCATCACAAATACAGGGGTCAAAGGCACATTTCAGTATTGAACGGAGCATGTGGGCCATGATAAGCAAAACTCACATCTGAAGCCTAGCAAACCCATAGATACAGATTGCTTATGTTGAAACTTTAATAACAATAATTTTCTTATGTATTGCAGCTCCATACACCTTGAGGATGAGCTCACGGGGGAACTCCTTCCTGACCAACCCATCACCTATTGTATTCTGGAGAAAGGCAGTAAGAGAGGAGGCAGAATCCTTTTATCAAGCACTGGATTTTCATATGGTGTCAAGGTTAGTAGTATTTTACTTTGTTCTTAAAGATTGTTTGAACTAATAACTTTCGCTATTTTGGTCATAAATTATAATACAACTTTTTAAATGTCAATTAATAATATTTATTGTTACTGAAATTATCACTATTTTCATCTTGAGCGTTTTTTGTATGAAGTATGTGACAATATAATCAGAGTAAAATATGTTTTCTTTACAGGCCAACAACAAGAGCTCTGTTTTGTGGTCATGCAGTGTCCGGTCAAAGAAAATGAGATGCTTGGCAGTTGTCAGACAGAGGGGAGAGAACTTTGTTCGAGGACCACAAGAGCACTGTCACCCACCCAGTCAACAGAACATCATGAAAATCCAGCTTTCTGCAGAGGTATTTCATTTTAACACATTATGCATTTGAATCAGATACATCTTTTACCATTCCAATTTGCAGTTGCTAACTAACTGTTAACATTTAATCATCTTTTGATCAGCAGTCTGTGACAGCAACCTATGATTAAAAATAAAATGGATAGATAAATAATGATAATATATGATATGAGTCATGACATTATAATGCATATATTGTTGTTGTTGTTGTTGGAGGTTTTTCGTCTCCGTGACTCCGCCCGTCGCCGGGCGGAGTCCAATCGACGTACGTCGATTCTCTGGCGACGTGAGGGGGGTGCTCCCCTCATTGTTGGGATTCATATTGAAAGTCTCTAGGTCTTGTTGTTTTGATATGACTCCCGGATCTAAAAAAGTTTATTGGGCCTGTGTTTATTCGTTTCCGCTTTCTTGGTCTGAGGAGTGGAGGCTTGTGTTTTGCTGTCGTTTTCACCAGTTCTCAGTGCAGGTACCAAATCCAAAAACGGCCCTTTCAGGGCACAGGCTAAACACTCGTCCCCTCGTCCTGACCGAGTGGAAATTGAAATGGACGAGTGGAATTTACAGTAGCACCCGTCCCTGTGCCGAGTGAAAAATAATATAGGATATAATAAAACTATATCTACGTGTAGCACTATGAAGCAAAAGTTATCAATTAACGCAGCAACTGTGTTGGTTTCGTTTTCCGCTTTCATTATCGGCGGCGATTGATTCAGTGTTCAGATCCCTTGAGCGTTTGACTCGGAAGGCCTAAATACACTGTTCCGTGCTTTAGTATAACCCCGTTTGGTATTACAAGCGTACTAACGATCTTCTGCCTGACAACCTGCCGACATGGCCGACAAAAAAATACACCCCTTTTTTATGGTGCAGCATAGAGGTAATTTGGACATTTTGTGAATGAAAGTTGAACATATGCTGCCGTAATTAATGTGTAGTTTCATTATAAATAAAGTAGAATTTTCGTTGATAAGAAACGGAGATGATTTGAAGGTTCAAAATTTGACACTATGACGATGTTAACGTTAGGCCTAGCCTACCAGTATAGAAAATTAATGAATATGAGCTGCTTGTATTCCATAAAACAAGTTGTTCTGATTTTCAAACGTTCTCCCTAAATATTTAGGTATTATAGTTATGCTTATGAATTGACATTTACCAAGAACAGGCTGATATGTACGACCAATATTAAAACAAAAATAAAATAAAACACAGAGACTTTTCTGCTGTTACATTTAACAAATACATCATGTAAAACAGATAGACATTCAAACATGCGTATATTTTATTCTAAAGAGAAGAGAGAAGTCACACTATTATATCGTGATTTAAATATTGTTTGCTTACAGAATCTGAAAAAGCACAGAAAAGAAAATCATGTGAAATAAATGAGGGAAATGAAACTGAAACTAAAAGTAAAGACAACAAAAACCAAGTTACAGAATCGAGTGTTTGCCAGGGCAATAAAAAGAAAAACAGAAAATATAGAAAGGAGTGGGAAACCAAGTATAAATGGGTTTCATATGATGAAGAAAAGGATGCAATGTTTTGTAAATTCTGCAGGGAATATCCCCCACTTGCAGATATTAAATCTCCATTATTTGAGGGGTGTGGCACTGGAGGAAATTTCCGTGAAGATACTCTCTTCCATCATAACAAATCAAGCAAGCATTTGAAATGTCAGGGGAAGTAGGAACTTGAACATAATAAATCTTCAACAAGTGCTCCAATCCAAAGAGCGTTTACACAGGCTGCAAAAACAATGAACGAAACAACAAGTAAAAGAATGTCAGCCTTATTTAACACTGTTTATTATGTAGCAAAGGAGAATCAACCGTTCATAAAATTCAAATCACTTTGTGAATTACAACAAAAAAATGGTATTGACATTGGAAAAATGTATCAGAACTCAGATGGGTGTCGGGATATTCTGTCAGCAATTGTTGAAACAGAAAAAACAGACATATGTGAAAAAATACAAAATGCCCGGTTTATCTCTGTACTTTCGGATGGCTCAACGGACTCAGCTGTAACCGAGCAAGAGACTGTTTTTGTCCGATATGTTGGTTCAACTGGTCGTCCAGTGACCCAGTTTGCCAGTATTATTGCCCTGAAATCAGCCACTGCTGAGGGTGTTCTTGATGGTATTGACAAAGGACTTGAGAACATCGGCTTAACTAGGGACCTTGTTGATGCTAAGATAGTTGGCTGCAATTTTGATGGCGCATCGGTAATGCTTGGTGCCAAAAATGGTGTTGCAGCCAAGATCAGAAATAGACTTGTTGGCAGAGATATTGTAGTGCTACATTGTGTAGCACATAATTTAGAACTGGGTGTTCTGGATGCCATTAAACAAGTGCAATATCTTAAAACTTTCCAGGCCACAGTTCAGCAGGTTTTCAAGTTTTATTATTACTCTCCAAAACAGGAGAGAACTTTGTGAAATTGCCAAAATCCTTGAGGAGACTAGTATCGCTCAAACAGGGTTACAGAAAACTCGTTGGATCGCAAGCCGTCATAGAGCTTTGGCTGCTTTAGAAAAAAGTTACCCCACTGTGGTTTACCATTTAAACCATGCAGCAAGTGCAGGCAAGGGGGAGGACAAAGCCAGAGCCAAAGGCATTGTCCAGGAGCTGTGCACTGAGCGTTTTGTGCGCTTTCTCCACTTTATGCTTGATGTGACCAAGATACTGGCAGATCTCAGCCGCCAGTTTCAAAATGATGAATTGTTCATCACAGATGTCACAGTGAAACTCCAAACCTGCTTATTGCGGTTAGAGGAGCTCAAGCACAAACCTGGTGACTACTTAACAAAGCTGAAGTCAAATCTTACTCAGGATTTTGAACTTCAAACTGGAATAGATCTGACAAGAAAGGTGAAAATAAAGAAATCACCAATGGACTTTGACAAAACATTCAAGGCATTCCTAGACAGTGTCATTGAATATGTCAATCAAAGATTCCAACCTATCCAGTCACCTCCTGTCAGTCTGTTCTCAGTGTTTGATCATGTAACTTGGCCACACTTCCCCTCGCTGCTTCAGTTTGGAACTGAGCAAGTTGAAGAATTGCTGGAGTTTTTCAAACCATTACTTAGTGAGGAGGAAAGGAAGGCAGTTCCTGAGCAGTGGCTTGAATTGAAAGTGAGACTCAATAGACAGAGGGAAGTAAGCCCATTTGCTACATATACCTCCCTTCTTGCTGCAAGACCTGACAGTTTGAAAGCAATCCTTCTCCTGATAGAGATACTCTTTGCTCTATCTCCAAGCACTGCAAAGTGTGAACGCAGTTTTTCTGCCATGAAAAGGATCAAGACTGGTCTTAGAAGTAGCTTAAACCAGGACAGTTTGGTTAACCTCATGCAGGTTGCCAACATGGATACATCTGTCCTTGATTACAACCCACTCCCTGCAATTAACACCTGGTTGGGCAATGCTAAGTTCAGGCGTGCTGTTACTGAAAAGCCTACGGTCCAACCTTGTGCAAGGCTTCAGTCACTGCCACCAGCTGCTGCTGGACAGTCCAATGCTTCTGATGTATTTCCAGATCTCCCCCAAGCTCCCCCAGGATTACTGGAAGCATATGAGTCTGACACTGACAATCATGATTCTGAAGTGTCAGACTTGGACACTGAATGATTCTGGAGTCTCCTTAGGGTTAAGTGTTAAAACAAAAACTAACATTGATAATTCAGAAAAAAATGTTTTCAAATAAAAAGAAACAATAAGTGTACACAAAATAGTTTGTTGATTGTATTTTAATGCATATGTGTAACATTACATACACAATACCATTATCGTCCAACCTGAAAAATGTAAAAAAAAATATCAATTTAAATCTCTAAACAGAGGACTGAGAAATGCTAACTTTATTTAATTTTGATAATATAGGTCTTAATACATTCACTGTCACAGTGACACCATGATTCATGATCAATAATAAGCAAAATACAATATTTCTTAATATATATATATATATATATATATATGAAGGTTACGTACGCATTACAGTATTCATCAGACAGTGTACAGTGAAATTTCTTAAGTGCCGAGTGATTTTTTTCTGCTACTCGGCACAGTGCCTAGAGTCTTTTTATTTTTGATCTGAGCCCTGCCCTTTACTTATTTATTTATTAAATATATAAAGAAATTTTGATGTCCTTGTCTAATAGTTTCTTGAATTATTTGTCAATTTAGAAAAAAAAGAGAGAATAGAGATATATATGTATATTATGAAATAGAGGAAGGGGGCTCCTGGGCGGCGTGAGGTGCCTACTCTTATTAACGAAAACCATAGGTGGATCTTTAATGTGCGAGCTTGGACGGGTCTCACACAGGCCACCGTTTTAAGTCCCGTCCGCCGGACTGTGTTGTTAGTTTTTAGTAATGTGCTGGTGCTCGCTATGAGTCCTTGCTTTTGCTCTGATCTTTACTTTCTCCTTTTAACTGTGCTACTTTACGTAATGTCTTTTTTCTTTCTGTGCCTATCATATCCTTCCTCTATGGTCGGTAGCAGTTCTTCACGACTCGTGTCTACAGTGCCTATTGTGCTGATGTTAGTTAGGGTTGGGGTGTTGTGGTCATAGGAGAGGTGTAGGGGAGGAGTGAGTAGAGAGAAAAGAGAAAAAAAAAAAACCGTGCTGGCTCAGTTCCAATTACATCATGTTTTCTGGGGGGAAAAAAAAAAACCCGTCATTGAGTGGGATCGAACCCCGATTATTGCTCGGACGTTGGTGGGGACACCCCCATTGGATATGTGTACTTAACTTTCCATATATGGTTATATAGACCATATATGGCTAACGCTCGCACCTGGTCGAGGACGCCCAATCTCTCTGTACGGTTTTCCTCTTCTCCGTTCCCTTTCCCGTTCTTTCCCTTTCCTTCTATTAAACCTTCCATTTCTTTTCCTTCCTTTTCCTTTTATCCTTACTTTCCCCTTCCTTTTCTCTCTCTCCCTCTTCTTTATTTTCTTCATCCCTTCCCCCTCTTCCCTTTCTTTGACCCAACCGCCGATTTCAACATATGAATGGATATTTAGCCAGTAACACTTTTTTCTTTCTTTTTTTTTTTTTTTGAATGATTATAGGAGGGTAGAGGCATGATTGTGGTATGTGCATAGAGGTTGAAGGTTAATGAGGGGGAGAGGGGTGGTGGTAGTGAGGAGAGTGGTAGAGGGCTAGTGGGGGGAGATTTTTTTTTTTTTTTTTTTTTAAATAATTTTTTTTTTTTTTTTTAAATAGAGTGCTATTGGAGCGAAAAGGTTGAGAGTTACTGCGGGGGAGATAAGAACAGGGGGACTTCTGGATACAGGGGGGACTTGTTGTTGTGTATGAGTTTAGGATGAGATTATCTTAATTGGGGTGTAGTGATGTGTGTTTAATAAAAATTCCCTACCTAACATAGGTTACCAAACGCACTTTGGACACAGGTAGGTGACGAATACTTACACTGTGTATACGGAATTCGTATACAGTGTTTGTATGACCTACAAGTGGTACCTATTTTGTGTATCTAAACTGGATTTGAGTTCATGGGGTCTGCTGAGTGGTGTGTGTTGTTGCGAGGAGTTTGTGGAATGGTTGATTTTGTTGCGGAGCTTTGATGATAGGTATTCTGAGTGTGAGTGCGTTATGTGTTATGCTTGTTGTTTGTTTGCGTATGGGAGCGGAGGTTTCAAGTTATGAACTTCAGTCCAGTGTAGGATACACTTCCCTGTAGGATGAATCCATAGGTTTGTGTATCCCTAGTCCCTACCTAACATAGGTTACCAAACGCCCTTTGGACACAGGTAGGTGACAAATACTTACACTGTGTAGTCGGAATACGTACGCAGTGTTTGTATGACCTACAAGTGGTACCTATTTGTGTGTGTCTATACTGGACTTGAGTTCATAATGTATGATGATTATTTGGGAGTTGCCTCCCTTATGCCAGTGTGTCTATGTATTGTCTATATATTGTCTATGTATTCTGTGTTTGTGAGATATTGTATTAGGTATTTGTGAATTTTGTGTGCTACTGGGCTAGGTCTTAGTAATGTGTGTATGTGTGTTGGTGTTATATTTATTTTGCGAAGATTGTGGAGCAGCGTTTTGCGTGCTTGCGTATGTTTTTGGCATCGTAGGAATATATGGTCTACTGTTTCTGCGTTATCGCAGTTCCGACATTTAGACGATAAGTGTCTATTCATTTTGCTGATATTTTCATTTAATTTGGTGTGGCCTAAACGTAATCTAGTAATAATCCTATCTTCTTTTTGTGATGATCCGAAAAGTTCAATTTTATTGATTGGTTTGTCAATTACATTTCTAAGATAGTTTGTGGGACTGACTTGGAGCCAGGTATCAGCCCAGGATTTGTCTACTGATTTTTTTATCATTGAGTAGACTTCCTCTTTAGAATAAGTGGTGTTGCATAAGATCGTTTGGTTGTCTAGTGCCTTTTTGGCGAGGGAGTCGGCCATATCGTTCCCTGGGATGTCCACGTGAGCTGGTATGTATTCAATGGTTGTATGTATGTTCTGTGTATGTAGGGATTGCAGTGTGTTTGTGATGGAATGTATTTCCGTTATTCTAGTGCTGTGGCCGGATTCTATCGATTGTAATGATGATAGACTGTCTGTTAGTATGACTGCTCCGCCCGGAGGTTTTGTTTCATCTACAATCCTAAGTGCTAATCCTATCGCTATAAGTTCGCTTGTATATACTGAGCACTTGTCCGTTACTCTGATGGAAAGTTCTATACCTAGTTCGGGTGCGTAAATACCTAGACCTACTCTATCTGTTGTTTGGTTTTTTGATCCATCAGTGTATATTTGAATGCGGTTCTTGTATTTGTCGTGTATAATGGACAGTGCTATATTTTTTGCAGCGATAGGATTCTCTTTTTTGTCCGTACTATGTAGGATGTCTGTACTTGTTTTGGGTGCTACTAGTTTCCAGGGCGGAGTTGGATTTGTGTGAAATTGTGTTATTTTAATGTTGTTTAAGTTATGTTCTGATAGGAGAGAGTGTATTTTGTGATTGTATGGGGGTTTGTGTTGTTTTGTTTTCTTGAATGTTGTGTGTTTTGCCTGTGTTATTAGCTTGTTGGGTGGAAATTGTGTGCCATGTCCTTGTGTCCTAGCCCAGTATTTGAGGGTGAGTGTATTGCGTCGTAATTGTAGTGGTTGTTCGCCAGCCTCCGCTAAGAGGCTGACGGTAGGTGTATTTTTGGTTGCACCTAGAGCTACCCTAAGTGCTTTGTATTGTATTCTTTCTAGTGCGTGTAGGGCGTTGTCTGAGGCTGAGTCGTATACCTGGGAACCGTAGTCTATTATTGATCTAATGAGTACCCTGTATAATTTGAGTAAATGTTTTTTATTGGTACCCCAAGTGTTTCCTGTTATAAAAGTTAGAGTGTTTATACTTTTTTGACATCTGCTTGTGATTGATTTTATATGAGGAATCCAAGTCAGTTTCCGATCGAATATCATTCCTAGGTATTTCGTCTGGTTGACGAATTTTATTTTTGATTTGCCTAAATATAATTCTGGTTCTCTTTGACGTCTAGAAAAAAGCATGGCTACTGTTTTTGTTTTTGAAATTTTAAAGCCCCATACATCGGCCCATTCTTGTATTGTATTTAGTGTTCTTTGTACTGTTGTGCATGTGTGTTTTATGGTGTTGTCTGAGTGCCAAACACTGGTATCGTCTGCAAATTGTCCTACCGATCCTATTCTTTTATGTAGTCTAACCTCTTCTAACTTTTTATCTAATTTATTTAGGTAGATATTAAAAAGGGTTGGGGATATAACACTACCTTGTGGGACACCATTTTCTAGGGGTTGTTCTTCTGAGTGGGAATTATTTACTCTGACTGTTATGGACCTATTTTGTAAAAAATTTGATATAAACCTAAAGATATTTCCTGTAATACCTATTTCCTTAAGGGAGAGCAATAGACCTTCGTGCCAAATAAGGTCGTATGCTTTTTCTAGATCTAGGAAAACAGCCAGAGTATGCCTATTCTTGCTTAGTGCGTTTTTGATTTCCGATGATATTCTAATTAGGGAATCGAGGGTTGACCTTCGGTTCCGGAAGCCACTCTGGTTTTCGCTAATTAGTTTGTTACTGGAAAGGTAGTGTTTGAGTCTATTGTTTATCATGGTTTCTAGGGTTTTACATAGGTGTGAGGTTAGGGCTATTGGTCTATATGAGGCCGGATCTTCTTTGTTCTTTCCAGGTTTATGTAGGGGGATAATTTCTGCTTTATTCCAGGATGAGGGGTATGAGCCGGATTGCCAAATATAGTTTATATAGCTCATAATGATGTTGTCTATGTTTTTTGGGCAATTTTGTAGTATGATATAGGATAACTGATCTATACCTGGCGACGTGCTCTTTTTTTGTTTAAGGGCCCTACGGTATTCGGTTAATGTGAACGGGATGTTGAGATCAGAGGTGTTGGATCCAGGGTCGGAGATAGCAGCAATGATATCCGGGGATTTTTGTTTTTTGTTTTCTAGGAATGTTTTTGTACAATTATCGTTGCTGCTTGTGTTTTTGAAGTGGTTGGCCAAAATGTTTGCCTTTTCGGCGTTAGTCCTGCCCTCTGCCTGTTTTCCTAATATGGGCATGGCGCTAGGGGGATTTCCTTTTATGGATCTAATTTTTGACCAAATGTCTTTGTTATTACTGTTATTGTTTAGTGAGTTGCAGAACTCCTGCCAGTGTTTGTTTTTTTGCTGATTGCATATTTTGTTGTATTTGTTTCTTGCTGTTTTGTAGTTTTTTATGTTTTGTATGGTGGGATTCTTCTTAACGATCTCCTCCCACCTGCGTTTTATTTTTTTGTGTGTTGTGCATGAATCATTCCACCAGGGGTTGTGTTTTCTGTTTTGTGGTTTCCCCGATGTTTGTGGGATGTATAATTTTGCAGTTGACACTAGTGTATCTGTGAGATTTTTGGTGTATGTGTCTATGTTTTTGTCTTCTATTGATTTGAGTGTTATTTTTGTACAGTGTTTTTTGAACGAGGTCCAGTCAGTTTTTTGAAATTGCCATTTTGGTGGGAAGCTGATGGTGTTTCTAATTGGTTTGAAAGTGAATGTGGTATGTATGGGGATTTGACCCTAGGTGACGTTTGTGAACCAGGAGGAGTAAGTGGTAGCAATTTCCGGTGATGTGTGATTTGTTACCCGTAGCTGGGTCTATTCGTGTGGCCGAATCAGGATCATTTAGTATGATCATATCGTTTTCGTTAATCCAATCTAATATTGTGTCACCTCTTTTATTTGTACTTTTGCTACCCCAAATTATATTATGACTGTTGAAGTCTCCTGATATGACGTAGTTATTGTATTTTGTGATGGTTTCCGAAAGGGCTTCAAGATGGTGATTTTCTATTGTGAAGCCGGGGCCTATATATATGTTAAAAAAGGCAACAATTTTGTTGTTGCTGTGTATTTCAGCGCCCATGAGTCCAATGTTGTCTGCTATATCTGGTGTTTTTATTTGTTTGTATGCTATGTTGTTTTTGATGTAAGTTGCTAGTCCTGTTGTTTTGGTGTGTTTTATTAGTGGTTCATAGTATCCTGCTATCTTGGGGTGGTTTCTGGAAGGTTTGATTTTTGTTTCCTGAATATGAATAATGTCAATGTTGGGGTTGTCGGATAGCAGGTGTTTTAAATTGTGTAGGTTACTGCGAAGTCCGCGGGCGTTCCAACTGAGTACAGATAGGGCGGCCGTGGATTTTTTTTTTGGTTTGTTCTGTCATTGTTATGGCTTGCTATGTGTGGTGGGGTAGAGGATGGTTGATTGGTTAATATTTGTAATTAAGTTGTCTTTTTGATCTGGTTGATATTCTGGTTGGGTGTTTTGTTTCCTGTGATGTTTTTTTCATTTTTCCTAATTGTGTTTTGAGGTGAGAGTGGTATGTTGGTAGGAGATTTTGGTGTGGATTGTGTAGATGCTATGGCTGGAGATTTAATAGTTGTGTCATGTGTTTTAGGAGGTGTGACTGCTGCGGCGGAGTGTGATTTTTGTGGCGTTGTTATAGGGTGTAATTGTGTGGGAGTAGTTTTGAGCGTCGCTGGCGGTGTAGGAGGTTTGGTTATGGCTTGATCTTCCATTGTGTTGGTGTCAGGTGTCATATCTTCCGTTATGGGTCTTTTGTCTGTGTGCGTAGTTGTTGTAGGTGAGTTTGTGTGTGTTTTTGTAGGGGTCATTTCTATTGTTTTGTTTGTCTCTTTATCTACCGATATGTCAAGCCCTATCCCTAGTTCAGATATTAGGGTGTTACGGATGTGGTGAGAAGGGTCACTTTAAGACAAAATGTCCTACCAAAGCTGATGATAAGAAAGCTGTGCAAGTCTTAGAGGCATCTGAAGATCTCCACGAGGATCTTGATGTAAAAGACAGTGAGCAGTTAAACTTCACCAGGTCGGACAACTAGGCCGAATCCCGACCTTAGGTAACCAAAATGGCCTTGTTTGTGACAAGGAAATGGTCACTAATCTCAATGAGCTAGCATCACACGAAACTGTGGATAGAGATGTTGAAACTACAGAGAATATGGCCAAGACAGATAATGAAAAAGACAAATGGCCCTTAGAGTTGGAAGCCGGTGTGGTTGATCGTCTTCGCTCAACGTCAATGTTTCAGATACCCATTGTAGTTGACGGTTTTGAAACAAGAGCTGTGGTAGATACTGGAGCAGAGATATCCATAATCTCAGATGAGGTTTATAAAAAGCTTAAGGACCCACCACCGATCCTCAGACATGTAACACTGAATGCTGCGGGAAAAAATCAGCCTATTGAGAGTTTTGTGATCGGACCAATAACGCTGACTTTAGGGTCAAAAGGCTACAGTGGAAATCTGTTTGTTGGACCAATAGAAGATGATGTTTTACTTGGTCTGGATTTCTTAAAAGCTAACAATGCCCAACTGGACATTTCTGGAGAGTCTTTGACAATGCGCCTACGTGGAGAAATTCTTCATGTAACTACTGGAAAGGAATTCCAAGTTAATCCAGATACCAAGGTGTATGTACAGAAGCGGGTTGTGGTTCCCCCAAACAGTGTGGCGAGGGTAGCTTGTCGGCTTTCTGGAGCGGTGGATGGATCTAGTGTGGTTGTAGAACCTACTATAGACAACGGGTTACTGGTTCCAAGATCAGTATACAATACAAGTTCCCATATTAAGCTGTATTGTGTAAATGTAACTAACCAAAATATAGTCCTGAAGAGGAATACAGAAATGGCTATTGTGAGTGAAGCCACAGAGATTATGGAACAAGATGGTGACCCAATATTTGTGAATAATTTGCAATGTGCAGATGAGACACCGGACATACTCCCTGAACATGTGCAGTGTCTTCTTGATGATGCCAAGGGAAGGCTCTCTGGTGATGAGTTGAACCAGTTTACTAAGCTTGTCCTGGATCATTCTGATGTCTTTGCAAAGAACGACTTTGATTTAGGTAACTTTAGCGCCCTAGAACACAGTATAGACACTGGATCAGCAAGACCCATCAAACAACGATTTCGCAGAACCCCAGCATGTTTCTCCAATGAAGAGGAGTTACATTTACAAAAAATGCTTGATGCAGGGGTCATCGAACCTTCCACTTCAGAATGGGCATTGGCACCTGTGTTAATCCGTAAACGAGATGGAGTCCGATGGTGTATAGACTATCGAGGCCTCAATTCAGTCACCACCAAGGACGTATTTCCGCTTCCTCTCATAGAGGAATGTCTTGATGCACTTGCAGATAATGTCTGGTTTTCCAAACTTGATGCCAACTCGGCATATTGGCAAGTCCCATTACGGAAGGCTGATAGGGACAAAACCGCATTTACAACGAAATACGGGTTATTCCAATTTGTGAAGATGGGATTTGGACTCTGTAATGCCCCAGCAACATATGCCAGAGTGATGAATCTGGTTCTTAGGGGATTAACCTGGAACATTGTCTTGGCTTTTCTAGATGATGTTTTAGTTCTGGGTCGAACATTTACAGATCATCTTCAAAACCTAGCAGCAGTGTTTGAACGTTTCAGGGCATTTCAGTTAAAACTAAAACCTGCTAAATGTGAATTCTTCAAGAAGAAGGTTGAATTCTTAGGCAGAACAATCAGTGACAATGGAATTGCCCCAAGTGAGAAACATGTGGAAAAGATAAAAGAATGGCTGACACCGGAATCGTCAAAAGAGGTAGAACAGTTCCTGGGATTTGCTAACTATCATCGTTCATTTATTCCGGAATTTTCCAGAATCGCAGTCCCTCTGTATCAGTTGACTGGGAAAAACCACTTCCGGTGGGATGAGGAACAAGAGCAAGCTTTTTCGAAGCTGAAATCTCTGCTAATTTCACCGCCAGTTTTGACAATTCCCAATAGCAATGATCTTTTCATCCTGGACACGGACGCATCAGATTTTGCCATTGGTTGTGAACTTTGCCAAGTTCAAGAGGGAAAGGAACGAACTGTGTCTTATGCTAGTTTTGCACTTACTCCTGAACAACAACGCTACTGCACTACCCGCAAAGAACTTCTTGCTGTGATTCGGTGTATAAGACAATTCAGACACTACTTGTTAGGACGCAAATTTGTAGTTCGAACTGACCACAATAGTTTAGTCTGGTTGCTGAACTTTAAAAATCCTCAAGGACAACTGGCTAGATGGCTTGAGGAATTGAGCCAATATGACCTGACTATTATGTACCGAAAGGGGAAAGATCATCTTAATGCAGATAGTCTTTCGCGCAACTTAGAAAAGGACCAATGTGACAGCTTTAAGCATGGCCTGGATCCAACCAGCTTACCCTGTGGAGGTTGTTCATATTGCATGCGCGCCCATGAACACTGGCATCGTTTTATATCAGACGTCGATGAAGCAGTTTCTCTGAGTAACCTCCCAAGTGCACAAGGAGTGAATCGTCTGGGATACGAGCGAGAAGATGCTCAAGTGGACAACGGACTCGTTACTGTAGAGGTATCAACTGCAGGAATTAATCTCTTAACTTCCAGGGAAGAACACTAAGAGGAGAGTGTAAATACCTTGAACACATATTCCTTACAGTATTCTAAACCACAAATCCAAGCTGCTCAGGAAAAAGACCCAGATCTGCAAGTGATTCTAGATTGGTTGAAGACTGGACAAACTGTAGACGAAGGAGAACTTTTTGGATCAAATAGAGCTACAAAATATTATTGGATTAATAGAGAAATGTATTTCCTGGACGAACAGGGTGTATTGCGGAGAAGAGATCCACAAGACAACCAAGACAGTGTGGGTGAGGTGGACTTCTTAGTAGTACCTTTAAGTATGAGGGAAGAGGTGATCTCAATGTGTCATGATAACCCTGCAAGTGCACATCAAGGGATAAATCGTACAGAACACATGGTGCGACAGAGGTTTCATTGGTATGGGTTGTCCCGGGATGTACAGATGTTTGTAAAGAGCTGCACTGTGTGCAATACGAAGAAAAAGCCTAGTCGGAAAGCACGATGCCCACTGACCCTCTTTCAGTCTGGTGAACCCATGGAAAGAGTCCATCTAGACTTTATGGGCCCACTACCATGTACAAAGAGAGGAAATGAATATATATTGGTCATGGTTGATCAATTCACAA